GATAGAAAAAGTTGAAAATCACATGATATCACTTATATGTGGAATATAAACCTAAAAGCAACAAATGAGCAGGACAAACAAACAGAGACTCATGATATAGACTATAGACTAGTGGTTACCAGAGGACTATAGACTAGTGGTTATTAGTGGAGGGCAGGGAGAGGGGGAATATAGACAGGGTAAAAGGGGTCAAATATGTGGTGACAGAAAGAAATCTAACTATGGGAGGTGAACAGTAAGGTAAGAAATCTAACTATGGGAGGTGAACACACAGTGTAAACATATATACGCCTCACTTTTTAAGTGTATAGCTGAAACTTATTGGATTTCCCAATGTTACTTATAAAAAGTTAAAAATTTTAAAACATCATTGAAAAAACTAAAATAAAAAAATAATAAATAAACATGAATAATTTTATAAAAGCTATGTATAGTACCAGATTACAAGACTAATCTGGGAGGGAGGGGATTCACTTCACAATTACAGAAATGTCTATCCATTATGCTCTACAGCTGAAACTAATATAACATAATATTGAATGTCAACCGTAATTGGAAAACATAAGTTTAGAGAATTATTTGACAACATAAGGCTAAAATATGATCAAAATAAATATAACGATATAGATATTAAGATGTGAAATGTATAATATAAACATATACTAAAATGAAAATGAACATAATTTTATATTTATACAACAGAATTGTTTTAACTATAAACAATTTTGACTTGCATGTAAAAAAATGGGCATGGATTGATATCTTGTGCTATGTACAAAAATTAACTCAAAATGAGTCATAAAACTAAATGTAAAACCTAAAACTATAAAAGGAAACATAAGAGGGGTGGCTCCAAGTACATGAATGAGGGATGGCAAATAAGTACATGAAAATATGCTCAAATCATTTGTCAATAGGGAAATGCAAATCAAAACCACAAAGAAGAGCTTTTCATTCGCCTCCAAAATAGGGGTCCTGGGTTATACGAACAATTGTAGGCAGGCAAAATGCTATTTTATTAAACAGGTATCTTAATAATTTTTTAAGAACACAGTGAGATACCACTACATCCTACCAGAGTAGCTAATGTCAAAAAACTGACAATGCTAAGTGCTGGAAGGGATGTGGAACAGCCGAAATTTTCACGCAACAATGGAAACGCTAAATGGTAGAGTTACTTTGAGAAATAGTTTACCAGTTTCTGAGAATGTTAAACATATATTTACTGACAGACATTTAGGTTGCTTCCGTATTTTGCAAATAATGCTGCAATGAACAGGGGATGTAAAGGACAGCATAGGAAATATAGTCGGTAATATTGTAATAACTATGTATGGTGCCAGGTAGGCACTAGACTAATTACGGGATCATTTCATAAGTTATACAAATGTCTAATCACTATGCTGTACACCGGAAACTAGTATAATATTGAATGTCAACTCTAATTGAAAAATAAAAATATAACACATACTTACCATGTATCACAGCAATCCAACTCTAGGAATTTATTCTAGAGAAAACACACCAAAAAATTGCATGCTAATGTTTATAACAGCTTTATTTTTAATTGTCCCAAAGAGGAAATAACCCAATGTGCCTTCATCTGGGGAATGGATAAACAGGGGTACATTCATACAATGGAGTACAACTCAGAAATAAGTTAACTATTGATAAACTCTAAAATGTAGATGAATCTCAAATGTATTATGCTTAGTGAAAACAGCCAATGTCAGAAGGCTACATACTGTATGATTCCACTTATATGACATTCTCCGATAGACAAAACTATAAAGACAATGAACAAATTGGGGTTCCCAGGAATTAGGGGTTAGGGAGGTTTTTACTATAAAGTAGCAGG